ATGAGCACCCTGGTTCTCTACAAAATTTTGCCAATTGTCATGTGTGAGCTTGGGCAAGTTACAGAAGAACTTTGAGGTGTTTTTACTGCTTCAGATGGTTAGAGTTGGGCAGGCAATGGAGCTCAGCTAGTGGACTGCTTGTGTAGCCTGAAGCTATGGTTGTGTCTCCCTCTAGCATCTCATAAATACTGATAACGTGCACACTTGTAATCTTAGCACCTGCAAGATAGAGGTGTGACAATCAGGTGTTCAAAGTTTGTGGCTATGTAGCAAGTTGGTGAGTAGTCTGGGATACATTAGACCCCATCTTTAAAAAGACATCCATCAGTCCTTGGTGCATATTAAACTCTGCCTCAGTGTACCTCTTCTTATTACTGAGATTTTATACTGTGTACCTCCTTAAAAAAAACTTGGAGTTTCAGATTCATTTAAAATGGTCAGATCAGCAAATGACTGAGCTGCGTACGTGTGTGTGTGTGTGTGTGTGTGTGTGTGTGTGTGTTTGTGTAAGAGAAGGCCTCTCTGACCACAAATGACAGGGTTCACACAAGAATGAAGGAATAATGATAAATAAAAATTTCCCATCATCCCACTGCCCTCTGATTGTGGAGACAGAAGACCTTTTGACCTAACCTCCTAGAGATTCAAGAAATGAGATGACAGAAGGTCAGAAAAGGATCCAGTGCATGTCTAGACTTGTAGGTAAACTATCTCTGTCTGGCAGTGATCAGCTCCACACAGCACTGTTTTTGAAAGACACAATAACATGCAATTAAGAGTTCAGGTTAGGGTCACAGAAAGAATTGTTCATTTGTATTATACGGAAGACATGACCAAAAGGAGACAGGAGACCTCACTGTGTATTCACCAGGGTGTTTATCTTTAAAAACAAACAAACAAACAAAAAACAGAAAGAGGTTGGTTCTGAATTGGCACGTGTCACTTACTAAATCCTCTATCAGCAGTAATGATGGGGGAGGCCTTGGTACCTTCTCCCCTGTGAATGGATTAATGCTGTGTCACAGGAACAGATTGTTTTTCATGCAAGTGTGTTTCTTATAAAAGATGAGTTTGCTTCTATTTCTATCTGTGTCCTTCCCTCTCCTTTCATTGTCCTCCATTCCTCCATCTCCTCCTTCCTCTTCCTTGTTTGTTTGCCTTCCTTTTGACCTTCTGCCAAGGGATAGTGACACACTGAAGACCCTTACTAGTTGTGGGCCTTCTGCCATCGACTTTAAGGCTGTAGAAATATGAGAAATAAATATCTATCCTTTCTCAGTCACCCACTAAAAGCACGGTTATCCATCAGATGAACAGAGTGCACAAAACACAGTAATTACCTATCTAGAAATGGAAACAGCTACATAGGAACTGAGAAATTATGAGTTTGTAGAAAGGTTCCATATGATATAAGAAGGATCTTTTGGACAGTTTATGTTACTAAATTCAAAATTGGTTTAACTGATGTCAAACAACATCAAAATATTCGGATATAGGTAATTGTCTTTGCTTCCTGAATAGATTTCTTTGAACCCTCAGTATTTCTTAATTTCATAGTTTTTAATCTAATTGTCTGACTAGTTAGTTCTTAATTCAGTTTTTCCATTTTGCAAATGTCTTTTTTGACAGTTATTTTGAAGAGTTATATCATTATTTTATTGAGAAAACATATTTAATCTTGAAAGCAGTTCTTAAATATATATGTACATGGAGGAAAGATTTATTACAAAATAAATGCTCAAAAATATGCTTATGAATTTCTTACTAATATTTTGTCTCTGCTTTCTAATTGTAAAGTATATATGAAGGTACACACATTTAAAACTGAACAGTGTAGATTCTTCGACACTTTGTTCAAGTTTCTCTAAATACACCTCCGAAATTAACTGAAACTAACCCTTGGCACTTACAAAGAAAGACACAAAGAAGGAAACTATCGCTCCTTTTTTGTTTCCAAAGTAGTATTGGGCTTTCAAATAGTTGAGACTTCAGTCCTAAATTATACACCACTGATATTTTTGGTAGAATGATGCAAATAAGAATAAAGAAACCAACTTTGATGAAGACACCTTCACATAAATCTTCAACATTTAAAATATCTGAAAGTATAGTACTGGATGCAGCTTTAAGTTTGAACTTTATATATTTATATTTGGGCTAGTTCCAACTCCTGTGGCTCTTGTATATGTTATTAAAGAGAAGGTGGCAGAGAGAGACAGGAAGGAAGGAAGAGATGGAGGGGAATCTCATTTAAGAAGCAGATGACAGCACAAGCACATAAGTAGTCAACTGTGGAAGAGAAATTCAGGTGAAACAGATGGGCCCTTAGATTTAGGCCGCAGCATTCAGAAGCCAGAGTTGCATTTTCTTTGAGACTGTGAAGAAACAGCTTGGGGATGGCCTCTGTTGATCACTTCTGGTGCTGATTTAATTCCACTTGTCTCAGGGCACTGAATAGCAAGTTAAATGTTCTGTCCTCATGATTATGATTAAATATGTTACCATTCAAATACATTGACTTCTCATATTTGAGTTCAGTGTAACTGTAACCTAACTTTGTAACAGCTGTCTCGAGAGGCCTGAACTCTTTCTGAGATGACAATTGGATCAGACTACCCTCCTGGTTTGTTCATCACATAAAGTGGAATCCCTGTATTTATATAGCTGGAAGTGGCTGGAGCAGTGTGAAAACAAAAGAAGACCAGAGCAGTGAGAACAGAAAGGCTGTTCTTTCAGGGCTGTCATTTAGCAGAGTCTCCCAGCAGGCAGAGGAATGGGAGAGCAAAACGGCAAAAATGCGAAATTAAAGTGGCCCACAGGTGCTTCTCTATAATCACTGTGTAAACAAACTGTGCCCTTGCCCTTACTTAACAGCTTCCCCTTGTAACAAATAGCAGAGTGCTGACCAATCGTTGCAGCCAATCAGAGGCTGCAACTGCCCCCACACATCCAAATCAGGCACTATAACCAACTGGGCTATTTCTGTCTACCACTTCCTTTTTCTGTCTATAATTACTGCTTGCTAGCACTGCCAAGTGGAGCCCTGTGAGGCCCTCGGAACCCTGACCATTACTGCTCAATACACAGAAGCCTGCTCTTTTTACCATGCAGCAAGATAATGAGGAACCGAACATCATTTTTGTTTAAGCTGTTGAAAGCTGAAGAACAGTTGAAGCTAAATTAAGAGAAAAGAGAACAAAAATACAGTTTTAAAATTATGAGTTTATCAAAAATATTCATATGGATTAGACTTCTAATTTGATGAATTTTATATATTATTATTATCAAATGATCTTATTTAAAGGAAAGCACTATCAAGATCATGCCACTTTAATTCATTCATCCTCACTTGACTCTTCGGTTTAATTAGAAATATGGTACAGCCTATACATAGCAGAAAAATGATGAAAATGATGGACGAATTGACAAACTTGCTAAGTAAATAAAGTAGAAGACTTGTTAAACAGGATGTTTGCTGGTAGCTGAACCAGTCCTAAAGAATGAAAAACCAAACAAAGCATATGCCTTTCAAGAATTTGGAGTTCAGGGGCAAAGTAAATATGTGGAAAGACAACATGCTATCTTGCTATATAAATGACAAGAAGGCATGACCATGGTGGAGGTAACACTTCAGAAGACACTGAAGTCACCAAGAATCGATTGCTTTGCTCTACTAAGATTTAAGGGTAGTCAGGGTAGAGCTTGAAGTTGTACAGGCAGCATTATTTTGTTCAGGAGTGGCAGAGGGTGACAGAAGCTATGATCAGTTAACACTGTTCCTTGGTTGGAGTGATTATGAGAGAGTTACATTAGAGAGAAGGCCACTGTGGCAGACAATAAAGAGGAAACTTGGTTATTGTGTTGGGAACTGGAAATGCCTCAAAGTATACTTGTCAGGTGGACATTATGACCACATTTGTATTATAAATGAATGTTGTGACTTGTACTTTGGATATCAAAGACAAAGTCAAGGAAGCCAGTTGTGACAATTCAAGAGACATAATTCAATTTAAGAGTTTCAATTGGGGTTCTTGAGGTAGACATGCAACAAGTAGAGAAGAGTAGGGAAAAGGCTCAGTAGACTTTTCTGACTGATGGATTTGAATTTGGGCTTTATCAGTCAAAGACAAGAACAGACAATCCGTTAGCATGGATGAATGGATAGCCAGGAAGAGGCATTAGTTGAGTAAGAAATATCTGTGCAGCACCTGAAATGTGAAATTCGTGTTATCTATAAGACAATTATTGGATAATGAACTAGGAGAACAGTCTTGCCTTTTGACGAAAAGTTTGGGAAATCATTAGAAATTAGCTGAGATTTTCATTGGAACCAGAAGAATAAAAATCATACAAAGAATCTATAGTGAATGAGGACAGTGTCTCAGCCATTGCCTTAGAGATAACCAGTCTGTAAAGAATGTGTCAAAAAAGAAAATTACGGGCGACATAGAAAAGGGGTTTGATGTAGAATAACATTCAAGTAAAGGAAGAATCTGTGAAACCATAAAAATGAATGCATAAAAACAAGTGACAGAAGGCTGTCCAGTTATTAGGAATTGTGGTAAATGTTTCAGCTAATAAAACCCACTATATTTGCTTAGCAATAGCAGTACTGGAGAATGGTTGGGTTGGATTCACGCCACAGTACAGTAAAGGAAAGGTGAGGGAGTAGAAAGTAGGAAGGACTGTAACATACTCCTTAAGAGAAATCCTTAAAGATGAAACCAAGAGGGGGAGTTAATAAAGAAGAGTTGCAATTCACTGAAGTATTGTATATCAAAAGAGAAAACGATTTTCTTTCTGGTGATATTAATGTGCCCACATCTTGGAAGAAAAGAAAATTCCTCATGGGACCCATTTCTGTTATATTTCAAAAACCGGGGTCTCCAGTACAATCCTTACAACATCTCGCAAGCACTTTAGAAAGGCATTCAAGTTTCTAATAACAATTTCAGGGAGGATTTAATTCTCAAATAACAAGCAATTTTATTAATGCACAGAATCCACCGAGGAGCTGAAAGTCCGAAGCCACAGCACGGAGCCATTACCAAAGCTGGACAGCAAAGAGAGAGGTCATCATGGAGCAGCTTCTTCCAGGGAGCCAAGGAAAGCTCAAGAATGGGACGGAACACCGGGTCCACCTGTGGTCACCAGCAGAATGGGCAGGTGCTCCGTGAGCCCCACCTTGTTGGCTGGAAATCACAGTTCCGGTAAGCAGGCCCTGTTCTTCCACAAGGCTCTGTCAGTGTATAGGCTGCTCTTAGGCAACCATCAGCTCAGGCCAGTCTGCCTCCACTCAGACTCCAACCCCAGACATACATGTAACAGGGTCAGCTCATGCAGCACATTCCGGGGCGCTACTCACAGGGATGGTAAGGAAAATGGTGGTTCTTGAAGTTCTGCCATGCAGCAGTGTACATCTAGAAACACTTAGTTCTAGCTGTCTTCAAAAGTGACTATAGACCCCAGCTAAGTCGACTTCAATTTGAAATTAGATCTAGTGTTTGTGGTTCTTTTTCTTAAGAAACTTTTTTAGGCAGCCAGTGAAATTTGATCAGAAGTAAAACGCAGAATAGAAATGTAACAGTAACGTTCTGAAGGCACAAGACGGAGAATCTGGTTTGAGTCACATGGGCATGTAACATGGCATGAAATTCTCAAACCCAAACCAAAAGAGGAAACATTAATGTACCTTTCAATTTCATATCTTGATACTTAAATAGGCAATGCAATTCTGCATGGCTAACAGATAAGTATTATTAAACAACAATTTTGTAAAACAGCATATGTTTGCTTTGATTTGATTCATTTATATGTTGGACTCACAGAGAGCTGTCAATTAAAATAAACAGTGAATAATCAAGGAACCTCCTGCAGTTTTCACATTTCTGTTCTGAAAGATTTCTAGGTCCCTAAAGAAAAGACCAATCCTTTCATGTTCTTTTTGACTTTAATATTCATCAAGGAAAGCAATTTACACTAAGTTAACCTGTGTACTCCCTGATATGGGTAAGTTAAAATACAGGAGACCAGTGATCTCTGGATTTAGGGAGGAATTTTTCTTGGAATAGACCTACCCATATCTACCCAGGTTTAGAAGGTTAGGTAAAGCTGATGGTGGAGCCATCCCATGTAAACTATGAAATATTTACCTTTCGGCTCAAGTTAAAAACTATTAGAAGAAAAATTTGATGCATGTACAGAGATTCTAAATGATTTTTATATTAAAGTAAAAGTGGCGATAGTTACACATGATGATTAGTCTAATTGTCAATTGGATACACTCTAGAATCATCTAGAAAAAAATGTCACTGAAGAATTGATGTTACCAAGGGATTGATTGTGTAGATCAATTTAGTTGTGGTCATGCCTGTGGGAGATTATCCTGACTACATTAATTGATATGGAAAAATTCAACCCACTACAGTTAGCACCATTCCATAGTTTGGGCACTGAGCATTTTATGAGTGGGTTAAATGAGCCGAGTAGTCAGTATGCATGCATTAATTCTCTCTTAATTGTGCTCTTAACTGGCTGCTTCAAGTTCCTGTAAGCCTAGTATTGTGAGCTTAAATAAACTCTTTCCCCTCAAAGTGGCTTTTGACAACTAGAAGTGAAATTAAGACTACCTGCACATTTATTTCAAAAACAAAATATGTAAATAAAAATAGTAGACTTACCAGCTAAGACTAATAACTAATTTAGAGTTTATCAACATTTTCATAGACTCATCTAAAATTGTACAACTTCTACCTAAAGTATGTGAATGATAGACTCATAATATAGACATGTTTAATAAAAACAAAAATTGTTACCTGAGTACCTGTGATGCAACAGCCAACATTTAGGGGCAGATGTCATAATGATCAGTCAAATATCCTTCCTTATATTCACTGGTTCTTTACAGTCTATTAATAGACAAATATATTATTGTAATGTAATGCTTACCTTAGTCAGTGGTACCCAAAGAAACAAAACCAATAGATATTCATGTACAGAAAGTGATTTATTACAAGGGACATCTTCACATCACCGTGAAAACTTGGAAGATCCAGACCTGCTATTTGCAAGCTGATGGTACAGAAAAGCCCTTGGCAGGTAATGAAGACCAAATTCAGTGTCAATGGCACAAGCCACATCCTGAGTTTAGAAGTGTCAATGTCTATGCATGGGTAAAATTGAAAGTTGCAGCTCAAGAAGAGAGAAAGAATCTGATCTATCCTTTTGCGTTTAGACCCCCAATGGCTGGCATGAGGTTTGTGAGCATCTGTTGATTCAAATACCCATCCCTTACAGAGTTTAAAAGAATGCTTTAACTGATTATCTTAGATCCCTTAGTTCAGGCAAGTTGATAATACAGAATAATATGTGAAAAGAAATGAGTGAATTCTTTCAAGAAGAAGTTGGCTTTGGAAGGAACAATCAGGTGCTTTGGTAGAAAAGATGTAATTTCTAGAGGTTCACCAGGATGAGAGAAATAAAATGCCATACTTTCTTGTAAGACCTGAAAACCTAGAGGACACATACACATATACATGCACGTGCACACACACACACACACACACACACACACACACACACACACACACACACATACACACACATACACACACACACACACACACACACACACACACACACGTTCAGCATGAAGAACTTAGGGCCGTTAATTGGGAATCAACTGAAGCAGATGAGAATCTGAAGGACCCCATGTACTAACTGGAAACACTTTCATCATCAAGCACAAGTTAACAGTGTTCCATGTGGTGCACATTACTGGTGCTGATGAGTACCACTGAATCTGGAGGTGTGTAGCTACAGATTTTCTACAACTGTCCCTGGATGCCACCCTGTCCTTAGAGCTCAGGGCTCTGCTTTGCTTTCTTCAATATTTTTGTTCCACAGCCATGGGTTGTAAAATGAAGGTTGACTTTTTCAACGCCGTCCAATTGATCAGAATTGAGATCAGAAGATCAATTCTGAGATCCACCCCTGACTGAAGCGGAAAAGGTCTTCCCTGGAGAAAGCAAGAACCTTCCTCTTGCTCAGTAAGGGAGAGAGGGTGCACCTAGTAGATATAATGAGAAAATGAACTTGCATCACCTTAGGCACTTAGCTACTTTATGACTTTAAATTTGAGTGAGAAGACCATTACCTGAGAAATAGGTAGTATACGTGAGATATGGAGCAAGGAATAAACCAGAGAGTTAGGCATTGAATTTTGCCTTTCAATTTGGAAACATGATTGGATATCTAAATGAGGGGCCAGCAAACAGTGGGAATCACAAGATTTACCAGAACTTCAGGCCTAGACTAGAGATCTTAGGAATGGTTGCAAGATAGAGTGAATGAGCCATACATGAAGAAGAGAGGAGACATGAGAGAGTAGGCAATCGATATGGGATCCAGGGAGTCTATTGTTTAGAACTTACAAAAAAAAAAAACCTAGGCTGGTGTGAATGGAAATAACAGAATTATGTGGTGAATGATCTGACTCTCACTAAATAGCTTGTTGCACAGAAATTGGCAAGCACATCGCTTATGTTCTTTAGCACTTGGACATGCACTTTCTAACAAGTTTGGAGCTTAAATAAAAAAATGTTCGAAGGCTCCACATTCTTCCTTGAGCTCCTGAAGCATTTTTTTGTTTGCAACATTACAAGCCTATCTTCTGATTATAGAGCAACAAACCATCTATCAATGAAAGGGAATGGAAAACATGATTTTGGTCTCTTATGCCCTTTACTTTTGGTTCTACAACAGTTAGATATGTATAGTAGTAAAAAAGGGGGCTTGTCAAAAATTTGATTCTATAGTTTAAAATTTTCAAAATGTAGCTGGTGGTGGTCCATACCTTTAATCGCAGCATTTGGTGAGACAAGGGGCAGTTGAGGTCTGTTAGTTCAATGCCAGCCTGGTCTGTGAAACAAGTTCCAGGCTAACCAGTGCTACATAGTAAGATCCTGTGTCAAGAAGAAAAACAATATCCAAACAACAAGAAAACCCACAATGTAGAAGCAAATGCAGAGGCATGAATTTATGACAGCTCTCTTCTGAGTTTTGCATGTGAAGGTGTCATTCCAAACAATTGTTACTGTTACTCAACTACTTAGTCTTTCCTTCTACTTCTCTTTGTTTTTTTCTCTCTCTCTCCCTTTTTTGACAAAAGGAAAAGGTGTTTCTTATGTCTTGAGCATTATTTTTCTGATCAGAAAGAGTTTAAAATGGGCCAGATATGTTCTAAAAAACCATAGTTCCATCAGTGAAGATATGCAAAGAAATGAATCCCATTCACTGTTGGTGTTTTAAACAAGCCAGCCACCACCTGAATTCCATGGACCTGCAAAATGTCCTGGGTCAGTAATAGGAAGATAGCCACTCATGGAGAATATTCTGGACTTGTTGTTTCTGAAGAGAAGAGAATAAGCCAATCCTAACTGCCTCTCCTTCTACACACTTCAGTATATTCTTGGGTTCTGGGGTCATTGAGCCACTAAAGCCTTGCTAGAGATGCTAGAATAGTAATCTACAACACTCTTCTTTCAGTTGCATAGTTATCAATGGCACCATACCTTACAGGGGAGGAAGGGTAGTCTATGTACACACTCCTCTTTCTCATAAAGTTTCTTTCCTCTCTCTGGTGCTCTGATGTGCCCTTTACAGTCACACACACACACACACACACACACACACACACACACACCCCTACAACACCAGGCATGCATGCTTACACATACACACATTTGCATGAACAATTGCTGTTCCCAAGGTAGTTTAGCTCCTTGGAATGGCTCTTCTTAACAGCACTGCTGAGAAATGGAGGAATTGCTGAAGTACAGAAAACATGTCAGCACATCCCCCATTCTAATTAACATTGCCACTGGTTGCTACAGTAGTTTATTAAACTACTGTTGTTTAGTAAGTCAGAACATCCCCAGAGGGTGATTCCTGAAAGCAGTGGAGAACTGGAATCGCATACTCATGAATATAATGGGGGGATGTGGGCGAATTTATGAGAATAAATAAGGTATTAACAACACCTCAGACTTCAGTCAGTTATAGTTTCCATAGCTTGTGTTTAAAGCTGTTTCTGGGAACTCCCACATATTTATACATATGCATAATAGGCTGTGTGCTACAGTCTCTGTGTTATAGGATCTTACTCTGTTTCTTTATGGCACAGAAATGTTCACTGTATATTAATTCTATT